CACACACGCAAACTTACACTGGGAGAGTGGGAGCTACAATGGAAACTCTGAGTCATCTGCACTCCTTTGCCATTCTGAACCTAAATCATTGTGGCATTGAGTCACTACAGGGCTTCCTGTGTGTTCATGTGTGTGTCTGCAAGTGTGAGCGTGGACAATCTACCTGGGGTTTATATGCGTACATCTGCAGTTGTATTTTATATGCATGCACAGCCTGGTGTGACAGAAGCAGGTTTGCACATGGCAATCCTAACAGAACTGAAAATCCTAAGGATTCCAACAGGCTTGGTGAAAACTCCACAAACAATATTCCCTGTTGCTGAATCACTCATGTTGTGATGCCATGTACTTTTTAAGGTACAGATTTGGCTAACATGCACACCTGCTAGGCAGCTTGTCTCTCAGATGAAGTGTGAACTGTAGGCAGTCAAGGATGCTGTAAATAGCAACATCGAGGGGGGATTTTTTTTTTCTGTCTTACATATTGGTCTCCTGCTCACCTCTCATGTATCAAAACCCCGCCCCCATCCTACACTACTCCTCTTTTGACTGCACAAGCTCAGCCCCTGACGTTCAATGTATTCCAATCACACATAATAGGGTTGACATGTCAACACAACTCTGGTCAGCAATCACACACTTTCCATGAAGATAATAAGGGCTTTTAACATTCCTGTGGCACCAACAAGATTATACAAATGCACACAGGCGCATTCATGCACACACATACACAGTTAAGGGGATTTGCAGAGGGCATAATGATCTGTCGCTGTGTGTTTGTGGTCGCCGTGGCTTGATAAGCATGATGCCGACATGAAAATGAACATGATAAAACGTTATACATTGTGTCGCTGCTTCCCAGCCGTGTTCTGCTTCTGTTCGATGCTATCACACAGTTCTTGGCAGCCAGCTAGCCGTCATGGTAACATGCTACCCACAGAATTTAAAGATAGCACTTATAGAGCAGTCACCAGTCAGATGTACGGCAGCTTATGGGGATGAGAAAAACATGATTGGATTCTGCTGTAGGAATGGGAACCGTTGAGCGACGCTGTGCTGCTGCATTCACTTTGCAAACTTCCTTTGTCGTTTTATAGCAATCAAAGGAGATGGTATGACCTTGCCCCCCCCCGCCCCCCCTCCACCAAATAACTCCTGAAGACCACAGTGTGCTTTTGTTAGTCTGGCTGCCAGTTGTTGATCAAGAGTCTTCTCACACTGAGTTAGGGTTTGAACTGATGCGAAAATCTGTAGGAGTGATTATGAGACAGGAAGGTGGGACGCTTTGAAACTGAAACCAGCCAAATGGAATCAGAGGCACGTTTAGCCAACCGCCATCAGCCCACTGCTGGCTACCTAAAAGCTCCTGACCTTTGAGAATTAGTCGGATATGGAAATGTTGCTTAACGGGTTGTGAACACACACAGAGCTCCAGTGTGTATGAGTATGCACCAAAGAACACACACGAGCATGCTCACCCCTAACGGAGGCTTTGGTTTGTGTAGAGAAACTTGAAAGGACTTTGAATGAAAACCACAACAAACATACTGCAGTGGCAGGTTTAAAATGCATGCACCGTACTGTTGGATAAAAAAAAAGAAGAGATAAAGAAAAGAAAAGCAGGTAACAACTTATTGGTGCGCCTTCACTTCAGGCAGGCAGACTAGGAAAAATGAAGTGGCTGGCTGACTTAGATGACTCATCCCCATTGATGAGCTTAACAGCCATCGATTCCACTCCAGGGAGCGGGCCCCAGCACTTACCCCACTGCACTTGGGCTTGGGCTAGGCTTCCTCCAAACTCCCCCTCTCCCAGCAGAAGGCCTGGAGCTTAAATTAGAGCTCTGGCAGAGGGCCATAGGAGAGAAGAGCAGTGAGCAGGCAGCAGCCATTCACTGGTCTGAAAGCCTGAGTCACATTCATTGTAACACGGAGTCAGGACTGGGGGCCGGCTTTAAGTGGGCCTGTTGGGTGTTTTTTCACAATGGAGTGTTGCAGAAGGCTTTCAACGTAGTTGGAGGCTGGGTGCTGATGCTGATGCTGATGCTGATGCTACTGCTGCTGATGCTCAAGAGCAACTCATGTTACAGCACAAGATACGGTCAGGCTGATCAATGAAAGCTGCTGTTGTTTGTCTGCTATCCACACAGTGGACGTCTTAAAATAGAAAAGCAGTAAGGTAGAGAATACATGCTGTGTTAATAATACATTGTTTTTCTATTTTTGTGAAACGTTAGCATTATATTTTCTGCAGTGTGACTAGTGTGTCAGAAATGTACAAGCCCCATTCTGAAAAACGTTGGTGCAGGAAAAACTGAAATATTCTGTATCATTTATTTTAACTTTTTACAAAACAACAGACGAAGAGTGATTTTGTTGTTGCTGTTGTTGTCGAATTTTATTTTGTAAGGAAAACAACTATAATATTTACCATGGCCTGCAGCACACTTCAGGGCCCTGCAAACAGCAAGTCACCTGGGTTATTGGGAGTTTGGGTATTAAGATATACAGTAACAGTTCTGCTGTTTACATTATGAAGGGGTCACCACGTTGTTTTAATATTTTACAACAATTTTCTGTTTAAAAAAAGAAAGGTTGTAATTAGTGACCATAAACTGTTGTTCATTTTTATTTTGTTAGAGTAATGCACAGAGGGGAAATTGCTGAGGGTAGGCCACGGGCAGAAAGTGCTGAATGTGTATGACCCTTGAACCCTCAGGCGCTGTTGCATAATCAACATCCGTGCTTCAATAACAAATACGACCACATTAGGAAATCATTAGCATTGGCCTTGACACATCCTGTCACTGTGTCACACACAGGGGAAGCCATTCATTTCAAGGAGTAACAGTCAAGTTAGCTGGGCCTGAGCTTGTCTGAGAGGGACAGGGTCTTCTCTGATCAGATTAGTCCTTCTTATGTCTTCTTTTACAATAGAATGGATGTCAGTCACTACATACTAGACAGGAAAATAAAATCAAATCTTTTTTATAAAAGCTGTGAATTCACCTCTGATGGTGTAAGGGCGCATTACTGCGTCTCTGATGTGAAGGTACCACTGATGCAGGGCATTTTATTGGTACTTCACAGAGACATTATGGTGCCCTGAAGACAATGTCTTTACCCAGGAACACAATGGAGAGAGGACAATGTCAGGCTTCATTTTGCACAAATTACACGCATTCCGTCAATCCAACACCTTTGGAGATTGTTATAGGTATAGATTTATCTTCCAGCAGGTGTCGCTCCAGCAGCAATCCGCATAGTGTTTATGCTGAATTTTTGCACAGCATTCTATTTCTAATGCAAACATATCCTGATAAGCTGAAGGTATATTTTTAAAATTTAATTTAATTTATTGTAGTTAACAAGAGGATAGAGTAGAAGTTATTCAAAATATCAATCTGATTAATCATGGGGTAGCTGAGAATTAATTATAATTAACCATGATTAATTGAGTTAAATAAAGATGTGACTAAAGATAAAGATGATTAAAGTTGTGACTAATTCAAATGATGGGATTATTAATATGGAAAAATGTCAACAAAAATATGCAAAAGTTTAGCTTCGCAAAGTCAGTGGTTATAATGGTTATATATAAATATAACAGTTTTTTGTTATTGGTAATAAAAATGAAAGGATGTGTGTGTGTGTTAAAATGGTTAAAATGTCATTTTCATCCTCTTTTTCTGCTGCCAAATCTTGCTGTCTTACAAATCACCCATGAAAAATATCTTAATATACTGCATGTTCCGGGCCACACAACAATATTCCACCGTGACGTAGCACATGCTTTGTTCTGGTGTAATCAATATGAGATGGAAGAGTTATTACACTGAAGACTGGGAACCATTGTTGTATCATATTTGATTTTTTTTTCTTTCTTTCTTTCATTCTGCTCCTTTTGTTTTGTTCACCTCCAAAATGTGATGTTATCAACGTGCGGTGAGATTGCTTTTTGGATGGTTGGCTCATTTTTTTGGCAGTTATTACATCTAAAGGCGGCGAGGTCATTTCAACCTCACAGGTTGCACAGGTTGAAGAGAGCCATCTGTTGGATTACAAATAATGTACTCGGCCTGCTGGCACAATAATACACAATCGAAACAGCATCCCCGAAGTCATTTGGAGCGCACCGTCCGTGACAGGCAAAAAACACAGTCTCAGTTTGGATGTTATTATTTATGCTATTCTAATTCTGGCTTAAAAGTGGATTTTTGTTTAGCCTCTCGTTGGTGTAACGACCTTTGTGATCACTGTGATCATTATAATTGTCAGATGTTTTTCCATCGATGATGGAAAATTGTCAGATGTTTTTCCATCGATGATCCTTCCTATCCTGTGTTGTCATGCATAGTAATCAGAACACGGATAATTACTCTAAATATTCCTTTAAATCCACAGTCTTTTTCTCCGATGATGGATAGTGTACAAGCGCAGCTCATCATTAACAGGGGATCATCAACACAGTTAATGGTGATGTAAGCAGTAAGGCTGGGATTGGACTGCAACATCTGTTTAGTCTAATGGAAAGCACTGTGAAGGAACTGGCTTCCCCCTCTTTCAGAAATACACACACAGACAAACTTGGTCAAAAACAAGAAGAAGAAGCTCTCACATTTACTGGATAAACTTGATTATGTTTTTAAAGGGATAATTCCAAAAAAAAAAATCCTGCTGCATTTTAAGTGGCTGCTCTTACAACATCAGCTCTCATTTGCAGGTTGTTTCTGGGGGGGGGGGGGGGGGGGGCACAATTGTCCAAGGATGCGCTAATGACATTATGCTTGTGTAATTTGCATGTATCTGTGCCTGTTTGGTATGTAGCATGTAGCATGTATGGAAGGAAAGGGTGGAACTGCAATTAGATTTGAAGTGAAATCAGATCTAGGAGGAAATGCAGATCTAGATACTCTTGTGTCCACACACACACACACACACACACACACACACACATCACATCACCTCTGTTTGCATTAACACCGTGTTTGTTGTTAACAGCGCACAATGCTGATGGCCCCTGATGAGGACCGTAGATAATGAGCTTTTGGGAAAACAAAGGGAAGGTGAGTGTGCACAACTGCCCCTCACAGTTTGATCTGCACACATACACTCACACACACAAACAACATTTACGCCAACATCAGGTGAGGTCAGCGCCCCGGCCAAACATGAGGGAGTCAGCAGAAAGGGAAAGGCTGAGGTGATTTACTGAGAAAGTAGCCTCGGATCTTTTCTCATCCCGCAACCATATCTCCTAATCTGTGCTGTATTGACAGAGGACAGAGGCTTCAGAGCAGGTTGTCCTTTAAGAAGAAGAATACTACACAACACATCACAGCTTCTGAGATGATATCTGTGTAGTCTGGATGTCTGTCTGTCAGTAAATTTCAGATGTACGGTAATGACGTTGGTAATTGTTGTGTGAGTCACCGTGATAGGACTTTTCAGTGTCGCTGTGAACTCTGTGACCTGGCAACCCTGTTCATTATCCATTTATACACAAGCTGTGAATTTTCTAAATTACACAGAGCATCAGTGTACTGTCAGCGTAATCACGTGCTGTCATTAAAATCGTCCACCCCAGTGATTCTGAGGTATAGCTATAAGTGGAAATCAACATTTCCCTTATGTCTCTCTTATCTAACGCTGTGTTACTCAGACTGCAGTCACTTGAGTCACATGTCATGCTGAACACGTGGCCGGTGCTGATTGCAACCGGCATGGTTTGTTTGACATGCCAGGCTCCGTGAGCAGGACACAGTGGAAACAGATCGTTACTGTCAGCGCTAATGCTGCTAATGTTGCTAACTGTGACAGTAATCACAGGCCATTCACTCCTCTCCTGCCCCAGTCCCCTGTATCCACAGCACTTGGTGTCCTTCGAGCTTTAGGCTATTTTGCTCAAAGTGAAAGGTGCATGAAAGTACAGACAGTTACGTACATCTCTGACGTGTGAATGCACATCATTAGACGAAGAGTTTCTGACACGGAATGGCTGCAGACATCAACGATGTGATTTAGAACTTGTCAAAGCTCATTCTCTTCTTTATCTTTTTCAGGCTTCGTCATTGGCTGAGGACAGGGTACACCCTGCACCATCACACGGTCACACATCATATCAACAACCATTCACACTCACTCATCTTTGTATTGTCAACCTACAATGTCAAACTAAACTAATCTGCATGTTTTGGAACCAAAAGAACTAAGAGACAAGAAAACATGACAAGGAAATACAAACTCTATTATCTAAATTCCTATTTTGATTCAAAACGTCCTGTAAGATTTAAACAAACCACAGGAAGCTTTGGCCAAAATTTTCAAAGGCACTGTCTAAAATAATCAAGCTTTGTTCCTTCAAGCTGATTGTCATTCAACAGCTTTAGCCGCTGTCCTCAACAAGGGGTCGCTTGACACCGGCAGAACAATGAGTGATTGCACAGAGGAACAATTTCAAAGCAGCATTATGTGTCTCTGCACCTGCCACTGTCTGAAGACAGACACGTCACTTGAGACACAGCAGCACCACAGGCAGGAAGTGGAACCAAAAGTACATTAGTCATTGATGTCCTTGCCAGCCACGTTGAACCCAACCAGCCGTCTGACCGTTGACTAACTCTCCCTCACCCTAAGGTGGTTCATTTGTTTTGGTTTAAGATTTAATGTTGCGTTGACCTGAAGTTGTTCTGCAGAACAACGTAACTAATGAGTGCGGCCCACTGACTCTGTAATTCAATTTGAATGATGGACGTGGCAGTGGGCCTACTGTAATCATGTTTGATGGAGTGCCGGGGCGACGTCGTGATGCTTGGTACTGTATAGTTAGAGGAAATCCAATCTTGACTCCTCCTATCATTTTCCTTTCCAAGCAGGCATGAGACGTACCTCTTGGCACAGAAACGCTCATGAACTGAGCACAGTGTTTTTCCCAAGAGATTAGAGCCTGGATTCCCTCGTGTGTATTTCACCATATGTGTGTGTATGTGTTTGTCGTACCAGTCCTGTAGGATACACTCTGGGGGGATGGAGACGGGTTGCCATGGCAGCAGCTTGAATGGATTGCCGGCAAGTGTGTGTGTGTGAGAGAGAGAGAGAGAGGAGCGTGAGGAGAGAGAGTGAAAGTTTTTTAAATGCAGAGGCCAGACAAGGACAACGTACTCTCATCATTTCATAGTTTGTCATGCAGCCTCTGCATCACACCAAAAAAAAAAAAATAAAAAAAACTCCAGCTTTCAGTGACCTTGTAAAATGTGAGTGTCCCCCTCTGTGTGACTAAAAGTCATTTATATTACACTGTATCCACTCTGTAATCACAGATACTGCATTAACCACCTCATCAAAATGTACTGTCACTCACAGAGACTGGTTAATGACTGCTGGGTGGTAAAGCCACACTGCTGGGATCGCTGTGTTTTTAGGCTGTGCGATAAGACAAGGAGATAATAAAGCTGAGATAACCTGATGATCAAGGAGAGAAGACCGGTTGTCACTTTTGAAGCCAAAATGTAAATGCAGCGCTGTGCATGTGTACACAGGATAATGTGGTTGGAACCACAGAGTAAACTGAAAAACAGGTTTAACCCTCGTACACTAACAGCCCCGTTTGACCAAGTCCATGTTGCTCCTTCTGTATGTTTTTAAGTATATACTGTATATATATATTTATGTTTTCTATAAGAGGTTGTAAACAAGGATTGGACAGAAGGGGAGAATCCATCAAACAGTACCTTGTGCTCACATTTGTAAAGTAAGTCCATTTATAAACAATGTTTCTGGAAGTGTAAGACAGATTAATGTTGTTCTCTCACTGTCAGCGGTGAACATTGTGAAGAAGGTGCAGCGCTTCAGGGGAAATATATGTGCTTAAAGGCCAACAGAATGCTGAATCTGCTCTGAACAATTTTTGCTTAACAGTTTGCCGCTGCATCAAAATGCAGCCTGAGAGTGCAATATGAGAGGGAGCATACTTTTTTTTTTTTTGCATCAGAGACGTACAGAGGAAGACAATAGACTGTGTTCTGTGGTAAGGGGAGTGAGAAAATGACTTTGGATTCTGTGTGCCACAGACTAAAATCACCATCCACACTGGTGTAAACGCGTAAGGAATATGTGAATATGGGAAACTACAATTTATGCAGAGAATTATATTCAAGCAGAAGAGAAAGGCACCGCAGTCAGGATGACATTTATTCCCAGAAACACATTGGTTTTTTTAAGCATTCTTTGAAGCTTAAATTTTACTCTTAAGACTAAGAAAATAAATGTCCTGAATTCCTGAATTCCTATGTACTTAGACCATCTGTTGTTGAGTTATCGTCTTTGTCTTTGTCACATCATTTCTGCACTATGACTGTTGTTTCCTGTCCTGTGAGGTTTTTCTCCATTATGATTTTTCCCATTTTTCACCCATGATGCTGATTCTTGGGTAAATATATTTAACTAACAGAGAAGAAATGAATCACACACTGAAAAGCTGTGCGCTGATGCAATCAGGATAATTCTCATGGTGAATGACAAGTTTTCTATGTCCCAACACCAACAGACTAAATCTCCACAGATCAATTTAAGATCGTGAATATTTGCAATGAGCAAATGGACGTCTTTGAGACTATGGCCCATGGTTTTAGTACTGTTTTTGCTAAAAAAAAAAAATATTCTCAACAAGATACAACAACTAGAAGTCAAATCATGTTTTACTGCAATAGTGTGTTACCCTTTCTTATCATATTGGCTTAGTATCAATTTCTTTTGAACATAAAGACATAGGGGTAGCGGCTGATTCAGATGATATTCAACACAACTGTTTTCACCTGACGTGTCCATAGTACCAAGCACTGAGGAATTTTGATAAATCTGCCTTGTTTAACCCGTGTTGCCTCGGGCCGCCTGATGCAGGTGTAGAGGGGCCAGGAGATATTTTCTTCACAGGAAAGACAATATCAGCTGTCAGGCGGAGCAGAAAGAAAACACAAATAGAGACACTGCTGATGTTGTATCTGCTGCGGTTTTCTCCCATTTTCCCGGCACTTTTGACATGCCAAGTTTAATGACTTAATGTGCCTGTCGCCTGAAAATGTCCTCATGTCTCAGAAACAGCCAGTAATTTGGCGAGAAAACATTTAGATTTCTCCCTCCTCTGGTCCTGAATCTTTAAAGTGTCAAATAAATAACAGGGGGGGGGAGAAGAGACAATGAGATGCATTTTTGCTTCACAGATGAACCATTTAAAGGGTTTAAGCTGCTAAGGCTGAGTGATTTCACTTCTGTGGTTCTGATATATGACTATTATTAACCTCGCCACTTATGAGTGAGTGAGTCACCCTGTCCAGTGACGGAGCTGCCACAAGTCCTCACTCAGCTGTCTGACTTCCTGAAGAGAGATCCAAGCCAGTGACGCCAGTCCTGTCTTCCCCTGAAGCCAAGATCCTCCCCCTCCTGGTAGAGGAAGGCGGGGGGGGGAGGTCTCATGTGCGTGACCTGTCACTCACAGCAACTTATATACGTCCTGTTATTCTCAAAGCGGAAAGCGGATAATGTTTAAAAAAAAAAACCTTCTGGCACTTTCATTTTGATTTATCTAAAGTAACCGAGCACATAAAGCGCTGGTCAGAAGCCAGGAGGTTGAATTGAGGTCAGCGGAAATGCCACTGTTTATTTGATCCGAATCTTTCCTTTGGGTTTTGTCAAATGCTGACGGGACACTTTTTCAGGCAATGTGTTCATTAAATTGCACTCGCACGTTAGCTGCCCAGCTGTAAGCAGGCGAACTGCGTGACACAGTAAAGTTATGAAGTGAACTTAAGGCACCGTACTGCATTATACAGTACGGGACATTTTTAGGCTTTTGCTATTTATTTTCCTGACCTACTTTGATTTGACAGAGTTTGCATCATTTCTCCTTACTCTGCAAGTGTAAGTTTTAAAAATCTATATTGCAGGTTCCTTTGACATTCAGCCGGCTGTAATGATCAATAATGGAGGTTGTCTTTCGGCCGCTTGTAGTGGATAATGTACAACAGAACTCACAGAGATCATTAGGAAGAGGAACTGGGATACTGCGTCTGTTTTACAGTAACATTTTGCTCTTTCGATCTGCCTTAGGCAGGGAAAATAACTGCAGCCTTGAATATCATGTCACTTCGATGGGCAGATGTGATTTTAAAGCAACAGCATATTTGACAGTTGCACTGGTGCTGTTATTGTAAGTCATTTGTAATGTATCAGGCGAGAGAGGGAGAGAGGAGCGTTACGCATCCTCCTATAATCAGTGGAACATTATATCCACCCAGCTCCTCGCTTTCTTCCTCTCGTCCTCCCA